ATAATTCCCAGGATTCCCTAGCACTGAGCCAAGACAGTTAAAGCGGTCTTAAACTGGGTGATTTCTGAAGTGTGTCTTGTCCTGTGTCTCATTTGTCACTACTTTGGTGCTGTAGTTTGCAGCTGTGACCATGGGAAGTACTGTTTGGAGGGAGTGGAAGTCTTTCCTCAAGTAAAATAAGATTTAATTCTGTGTGCTGGTTCTTCAGTGGTTCATTAGTGATTTACAGTGAGGACTAAAGCATTGTGTCTGGTTTGAACAGAGCAGTTAGGATAAATCACTTGAAAGCAGCTTTTCAAAACTATTTTCCCCCTATCTTTCCTACACCAAGACCATCCAAAGTAGATAGCTGCTTATGCTTTTGGTTTTTCAAGAAAGCAGCACCTTTTCAACTTGATAGGTCTGGAAATTTGATTTGACAAATTCTCAGTAAGGTTTTCCTTACAGTTTTAGATTTGATTCTCAATATTTTGACAAACTTTGCTGCATGTGACCTACACTAAAGGAAGCTCTGCTCTGGAGGTTGGTTGACATGGTGTCATCAAGCTGTCCATGTCAAATCTCTGCCAGTTGTCACCTAGTCGTGTGTATTTTCTTCCATTCATATGATTAAGCTTTATGTATGCAATTACATACTTGTGTGACAGTAAGAAGAAGAATTCTCCATATTGTGATGGATTCATATCACTAATGAGTCAAAAGAAGCAAGCCTATAAAAACATTATTTTCAAGTAAGCTACAATAGATGTAGAGCATGTTTGGCGGCCTTCAGAATGCAATTTTATTTATTGTAGGCCTTATATGACAGAAAGCAACTATTACTCATTTATGTTTGATGCTCCTAGAAATTTCTAGATTAAGTCTATAGTTTTATATACTTAGCTGTGAGTAAGCTTCGCTGAACTCTCAGGCTTATTTCTTGAGTAGCTGTGCATAAATTGCTCTGTAAATAGACTTTGTGAGAGAAAAGATACAAATATAAATAAAGAAATAAAGGCACTGAGTAACAACTAACAGAATCAATTGAGGGAACAACTAGTAAGATCAATGGAAATCAATAAATGAACAAATAGGAATACTCAGGTAGTCTGCTCTGATCATCAGCGCAAATGACTCCTGGCATAATTTATGAGTTCCTTTTATTATACTCTAAAGTACCTGTTTTATTATAGAAGATTATGTGAATTATTAGCTACTCACAATTAGCCACCCACAACTTCCCCAACCAATGCAGATTATAGAGTACATACACACAGGGACCAGACCTGTAGAATCATAGGGTTGGAATGGACCCTGAAGGCTGTTTGCTCCTATTCCTGATGCTTCCTGATCCCTGTCAGCAACCTGAGTCCTCAGCCCTCGGGATGAACACAAAACACAAAGTCCTCAGTCAAACACACACAAAATATCTGAACTTGCAGTTTCTCTTGTACTGAGCAGTATTATTCTTGCAGCATCATCACCAGGAAGGTAATGCTAACCTGTCTCATGACATTCTGCTGATGGAACCCATAATTGTACTGTGTTCTTCTATATTTGTATTGGTCTTTATATCCAGGTTGTAATACAGTATAATTGGACTTTCTCCTACATACATAGGCTATATATAGCATGTCAGCCAAAATTACTTTTCTAGCAGTGAAGAAACAAAAGGAATTTTTTAAAAATTGGTGCAATTACTTGAATGCTCCATGGAGCGACATCTTTTTTATTTCTTCCTTCCCGGTCACTTGTAAATAATAGTTAATTCTAAAGTTGACTTTCAGGATTTCTGAATGAGATAACATGTTATACTTTCTACTCTTAAGTACCATACTGCATAGTTTGATCCTTCCTTTCAGCATAAATTATTGCTTTGTATTATATTTTGCAACATGTAATTTGAAAGGCTGAGCTCCAGCAGCCCCTACAACATTGGATATATTTATCCAAGTAGAAACAGAAGCATATCAGTAGCAATCTTTTTAAAAAGCCGGACAACGACTAGAGTGCGAATGGCGGAGAACTCGTCTCTCATCCGACAGAACTCGCCTTAAGAAGCATCTTGACTTCTGCTCTGCACGTATTGCGTCTGCTGAGTCCCGCCCGGCAGAGCTGTTCAGGGTGATGGGAGAGTTGGCAAAGGTTTCTCCTGCGCCAAACCCCCTGCTCAACCCCACAACAGCCTGCTGTGAGGTATTTAACATCTACTTTGCATATAAAATCTCTCGGATCAGAGCCGATTTGGACGCCATTGTTTTGACAGAGTCCGCAGGTGAGGCATCCAGGAGC